ATAAGACCTAAAACCATAAAAACCCTAGAAGAAAACCTAGGCAATACCATTCAGGACATAGGCATAGGCAAAGGCTTCGTAACTGTTAACACTAAAAGCAATTGCAACAAAAGCCAAAATAGACAAATGGGATCTAATTAAACTAAAGAGCTTCTGCACAGCAAAAGAAACTACTATCAGAGTGAACAGGCAACCTACAGAACGGGAGAAAATTTCTGAATCTATCCATCTGACAAAGGGCTAATATCAAGAATTTACAAAGAAGTTAAACAAATGTGTAAGAAAAAAACAGCCACATCAAAAAGTGAGCAAAAGTTATGAACAGACACTTCTCAAGAGAAGACAGTTATGCTGCCAACGAACATATGAAAAAAAGCTCACCATCACTTGTCATTAGATAAATGCAAATCAAAACCACAATGAGATACCATCTCACACTAGTTAGAATGGCAATCATTAAAAAGTCTGGAGACAACAGATGCTGGAGAGGATGTGGAGAAATAGGGACTCTTTTATACTGTTGGTGGGAACGTAAATTAGTTCAACCATTGTGGAAGACAATGTGGTGATTCCTCAAGGATCTAGAACCAGAAATACCATTTGACCCAGCAATCCCATTACTGGGTACATACCCAAAATATTATAAATCATTCTACTATAAAGACACATGTACACGTATGTTTATTGCAGCACTATTCACATTAGCAAAGACTTGGAACCAACCCAAATGTTCATCAATGATAGACTGGATTAAAAAAAAAAACGTGGCACATATACACCATGGAATACTATGCAACCATAAAAAAGGATGAGTTAATGTCCTTTGCAGGGACATGGATAAAGCTGGAAACCATCATTCTCAGCAAACTAACACAAGAACAGAAAACCAAACACTGCATGTTCTCACTCCTAAGTAGGAGTTAAAAATGAGAACACATGAACACAGGGACGGAACATCAAACCCCAGGGCCTGTCGGCAGGGTAGGAAGTTGGGGAGGGACAGTATTAGGAGAAATACCTAATGTAGACGACAGGTTGATGGGTGCAGCAAAACACCATGGCACATATGTAACAAACCTGCACATTCAGCACATGTATTCCAGAACTTAGAGTATAATTTAAAAAATATATGTGAAAGTAAAAAAACTTCTATGGTTAATATTCTCAGAGAGATAAGAGAAACTATTATATTAAAAAAGCAAGCACAGGATATAAAAGTTACATTCAGAAAATAAAAAGTGCTCTTCCAAATTAAAAATATGATAGCAGAATGAAAATTTAACAGGCAAGCTAGAAGGTGTACAGTCATCTCAGTAAGTAGGGCAAAAGAGAGAAAAAAAGGAAAGGGTTAGACAACTAAAGGATTAACCTAGGAGGTTCAATAGCTAAATAGTTCAGAAAGAAAACAGAGAAAGTAAAGAAGAATAAAGTAGTAAAATAAATAAATAAGATAAATAATAAGAAGAAAATTTCCTAAAACTAAAGCTAGTAGGTATTCAGATTTTAAGGACGTGCTAAGTACCAAGCACAATAAAACAAAAGAAAGCAACAACAAAAAGCTCCTCCTCATACCAAAGCATACCAGCATAAACATGGAGACAAAAAAGAAAACCTAAAAGCTTCCAGAAAATAAACAAGTTACCAACAGGGAGTGAGAGTCCATATGAGAGATGTCAGGAGTAGCACTGGAAGCCAGAGGGCATGGAGCAATGATTTCAAAATACAGAGGGATGTCCTCCAACCGGGAATTCCATATACAATTCAACCACAGTGTAAAGAGAACTCAGATTATTTTCAGATTGGTGGGGCCTAAAATAAGTACCTATCATGTATTCTTCTGAGGATGCCACTGGAAAATGGGCATGAAAGTAAACCAGAAAAGAGAAATACACAGAATTCAGCAAACCAAGTAATATAGGAGAGGCCAGGTGTGGTAGCTCATGCCTGTAATCCCAGCACTTTGGGAGGCTGAGGTGGGCAGATCACCTGAGGTCAGGAGTTTGAGACTAGCCTGACTAACATGGAGAACTAACTAACCCCGTCTCTACTAAAAATACAAAATGAGCCGGGCGTGGTGGTGCATGGCTGAAATCCCAGCTACTCGGGAGGCTGAGGAAGGAGAATTGCTTGAACCCAGGAGGCGGGGGTTGCAGTGAACCAAAATCATGTCATTGCACTCCAGCCCGGGCAAGAAGAGTGAAACTCCATATAAAATAAGATAAAACAAAACAAAATAAATAAGATAGGAGAAAGACAGAGGAATTCCCAGGAGGGTGAAAGGTAAAGACAGAACATGAATTTATTTTTCTTGTTTATCCTAGAGTGAATAACCTTATGGTTTGCTGCAGAAATGTTAATATAATGGAGTAACAATGCAGTCCCAGGCCACACTGAGGTATTTACACAATATGTGGTGTATACATCATGTTACCTTTCTAAAAATCTAAAAAATTCTGGATTCCAAAATGTATCTGGCCTAAAGGATTTTGGATTTGAAATTGTGGACCTGCATATACATTTTTATAAGTACATTTATGTACATTCCTATAAAACTGGTATCATATAACATATACGATATCTCACACTTTTATATTATTAAAGAATATTTATAAATATGCATTTTCATGGCTGAATGGCATTTATCCCATGTTTCATAATTTTCTTATTGTGAGACATTGGGTTAAATTCAATTTTTGCCTACTATGAAGTAATGGCGAGATGGAGAGCCTTATGTGTAGTTCTTGAAGACCAATTTCTAGAAATAGAACTACAGTGTCAAAGATGTATGGATTTGCAAAACATTTAAATATATAGGCAAGTATCATCTAGTTTATTAAGTAGAAGACATAAAATGAATTAGTAAATGCACAAAGAAATACATAATTACAAATCATAGTAGGGAGCAAGAAGGAAAAGAACCTTGAGCTATGAGAATAAATGGGGAAACTGAAACTGAATTATATACATATGGGCTCACTAAATGGCAGTGTAGGCTCAAATTAAGCAAACTCCAACTATACACACTGATTTTAGTTTTACTCATGCTCCAACTCTTCTCATAATCATGTAGTAATAAGTATAATTAGGCTTTTAAAAGGGCCTAGGTTCCAAAGAAACCACACCATTTTCAGAGACTGGACTTCTTCTTCCTCTCAGGCTAGGGGATGCTATCTGGGGTAACACCGGTAGGCCTAGGACCCAAAAATGTCGGGGGGTTGGGTGAGGGAGAGAAAAAAAAAGAAAAATTACAAGAGGGGAAGAGAAGGAGGTGCATATGAGCCTCAGCTTCTTGTGTATGAGACGAGAATAACAGCTCGGACTTCCTCTGGGTAGCTTCCACTGAGCAAGAGACTTGGCTCAGAATGACACTGTGTGAAACGGCTTCTGAAACAGCATCACTATCTTCAATGCCATACATTTTCTATTCTTTTTTATTGTAATACTTTATTAAAAATTACCATTTGTATTTTACACAATAAGCATGATGCTATAGAACAAAAAACAATCACTTCTTCTAAGCCCAAAAGATCTAATAAATATAAGTACTTCTGGTCAAAGGAAAAAAAAAAATCACTTTTTGTCAATATGTCTAATACTAACCCTATGTTCACCCTTATGTATCTTAAATATCATGCTTTTTCTTGGGAAATTAGTATCTATTTGACATGATTAGCCGTTTCACACAGTGTCATTCTGAGCCAAGTCTCTTGCTCTGAGTGCCTGCAGTGTGACAGCACTGTTCTGGGGCATGGGATGTACCAATGACTACATCAGGTCTGGCCCCAACCTCATTTCATGGCCTTAAGAATATAATAGGGTGAGACAACCAAATAAAACCAACGAATAAGAAGACTGTTTATATGACCAGGATTAAAAGGAATAAAGAGGGTGATGTGACTGAGTAATGGGCTAAACGGTGAATATGGCCCTGGCTGAGGACAGCACATGCTCAAAAAAGTCTCTCTAAGGAGGTCACAGAAAGTTCAAATAAGCAAGAGCAAGAAATGCCAGGAGCTGAAGAACACTGCACACAGCAAGAGCAGTGGGGCAAAGGCTGAGGAATAAAAGGACTTGGCAGATTCTCTGCACAGAAGGATGTGGCTCCAACGCCTTAAGTGCGGGAAAAGCAGTTAGAAAGTGGTTCATGGTAAGAATGTGGATGTGATTCTCAATGCAAGGGGAAACCACAGAGGACTTTAAGAAGACTGATGTGATCACCTCTAAATTTTTAAAAATGATGCAATAGTGAAATCAAGATCACCAGTGAGACTACTTTAGTAATCTAAGCAAGAGTGAATGATGGCTTGGCATAGTTGGTGGCAGCACAGATGGAGAAAGCTGTATTTTGAAGGTTTAACGAATGGGTCTTGCAGATGATATTAGAAGAAAGAAGGACTGTAAGAGGCTTTCTATGTTCTGGGTTTGGGTGGTAGGTTGAATGGTAGGGTCACTTACTGAAATGGGGAAGATCAGTGCTACAGGTATAGACATGGGTATTAAATGCAGGTAAGCTTTTAGGAAAGAAAGAACTAGGGTGTGGTGTTGTGTCCATCTGGCATCTGTGACCATAAAATTTAAACTGAAACTAGTTATTTCCACTGCCTGATTTCTTCCCCAGCAATGTCTGACTGTTCTGATGCAGACTCAGAGGAAAAACTGAGTTCATCTAGGGGTGGGGAGTTTGCCAAGGAATAAAATCAAAGTAGGCAATGGTGCATGGACTCTAAAAACTATCTTCACAAGTAAGGGAAGAAAAGACAGAACAGATGACATGAAGTAAAATTTGACATTAATTAGTAATCATCTACAAACTATCCATAATAGTAAAAAGGACCATCCATCTATTAACTGACTGACAGACAAGTTGGTTGAACCATTATCCTATTATAGAAACTACAAAATAAAGAACAAACTGATTATTAATTTTGAAGGCAATTTTTCCTTATCTTGAAACTATCCTACAGTAATACTTCTAACCAGAATGAGAAAAAAGTCTTTACCTCATGATTATAATCCAAGATTCCTTTTAATATTTTCTTTAAATTGCTTATCTGTTTAAAGAGAGAGAAAACAACTGGGTAAAAAGCAAAGACAGAACAAAACATAATTTAACATAAAAAATTTCTGACCCAACCAATCACTATAGTTAGTCATAAAGTAAATATTAAAAAAATAAAATTCAAAGGCATATTTATTATCATCATCAAAAGTACTATTAATGGCTTTATATAATCCAAGAGATTTATAAAACAAATTATGTCTCCAATTATGTAGAATTTTCAATGCTATGACCACATTAACAACTGGAGGGACTTAACAATAAGATTAAATTATTTCGATTTTCTGTGGGTAAAGTAAAAATATAGCATCCTTAATGAAGACTTGAGTTCAGAGCTAGTCTCCCTAGAAAAGTCAAACTGCATCTACATAGAGATTAAGTTCTTTTTATTTTATTTATTTATTTTTTAAGAGATGTGTTTCATCATGTTGGTCAGGCTGGTCTCAAACTCCTGACCTCAGGTGATCCACCCGCCTCAGCCTCCCAAAGTGCTGGGATTACAGGTGTAAGCCACCGTGCCCAGCCGAGGTTAAGTTCCAAAGACAGAGTATTAAGCAAAAATTATAGTAAAATCTCTTTAAGCCATGAAGTATAATGTCTTTAAATTCTTCCCCTATCAGGAAAAAAAATGAACTACTGTTTCTTTAGTTGAGCATCAAAGTAAATATTTATGAGCCATAATGTTAGGTGAAGGATGGTCAGAATCACCTGCCCTATTTACTGTAAACTATAATTTTTTTCTTTTTCTTTGACCCAACTTATATAGTTTTGTGTTAGGTTAAATGTGTATATGATATAGTTCTATTGATTATCTTATTGATCTAGCTGCCTTTGGCTGGTGTCCATAGTTGAGATGTTCTAGCACAGAAGCCAGTAGGGACTGAGGCTTTCAAATAAGAGCCTGGATCACAGAAATGTGATCCAGTAGTTAAGGAAAGGCATATTTATTTGGAAAGAAGAAAATAAACTAAAAAACTTGCTTATTTATTTTTAAATGCCTCATAAAATTAATATGCTTATACTTCCAGAAAAATGTGTAGATACGGAAAAAGCATAATATACTTTATTTGCTTTATACTAGGATGTTCATTTTCCCATATTTTTACTATTTGAAATTAGAATGCCTTGAAAATCAACTACCATTCATTTAAAATGGTAGTTTTTAAAATCACATCACAAAAAGCTGTATCTTATCTTTATTTATTTTTGAGATGGAGTCTGGCTCTGTTGCCCAGGCAGGCTGGGGTGCAATGGTGTAATCTTGGCTCACTGCAACCTCTGTCTCTCAGGTTCAAGCAATTCTTGTGCCTCAGCTTCCTCAGTAGCTGGGATGGGGTGCCTGCCACCACACCTGGCTAATTTTTGTATTTTTAGTAGAGATGCAGTTTCACCATGTTGGCCAGGCTGGTCTCAAACTCCTGACCTCAGGTGATTTGCCCACCTCGGCCTCCCAAAGTGCTGAAATTACAGGCATTAGCTACCATGCCCAGTCGTATACCTCATCTTTAAACAATGGCATCATAAAACTAAAGTATAGCATGGAGAATAAGAAGCTCAGTCCTGAATATTAAGAGTATGATAAACTTTTCTACCCTTCTCCATATACTACCACTGCCCTTACCCATGACACTGGAGACAGTATATGTGGGTGTGCATATATGTGTGCCTGCCGGGAGGAGATATAAAACTCCGTCTGATCAAGCCAGTAAGCAGACACTAAATGATTAGTAGCATTATTTTAAACATCATAAATTTTTTTTTTTTTTTGAGACAGTTTCACTCTTGTTACCCAGGCTGGAGTGCAATGGCGCGATCTTGGCTCACCACAACCTCCGCCTCCTGGGTTCAGGCAATTCTCCTGCCTCAGCCTCCTGAATAGCTGGGATTACAGGCACGCGCCACTATGCCCAGCTAATTTTTTGTATTTTTGGTAGAGACGGGGTTTTATCATGTTGACCAGAATGGTCTCGATCTCTTGACCTTGTGATCCACCTGCCTCGGCCTCCCAAAGTGCTGGGATTACAGGCTTGAGCCACTGCGCCCGGCCTCATAAATTGTTTTAAACATGCTGTAACATTTTTTAAATATCTTATTTTTTTTAACACTGAGTCTTGCTCTATCACCCAGGCTGCAGTGCAGTGGCACGATCTCGACTCACTGCAACCTCCACCTCCCAGTTTCAATCAATTCTTGTGCCTCAGCCTCCTGAGTAGCTGGGATTACAAGTGCCTGCCACCACACCTGGCTCTTTTTGTAATTTTAATAGAGATGAGGATTCACCATGTCGGCCAGGCTGGTCTCCAACTCCTGAACTCAAGTGATCCACCCCCTGCCTTGGCCTCCCAAAGTGCTGGGATTACAGGAGTAAGGCACTGTGCCCAGTCTGCCAGGCAAGAGGCTGAGGCAGGAGGATGGCTTGAGCCCAGGAGTTTGAAACCAGCCTGGGTAATATAGCAAGACCTTGTCCCTAGAAAAATTTTAAAAATCAGCCTAGAGGGTTGGCATGCACCTATAGTCCCGGCTACTTGAAAGGTTGAGGTAGGAGGCTTGCTTGAGCCTAGAAAGTGGAAGGTGCAGTGAACTGAGATTGTGCCACTACACCCCATCCTGGGCAACTGAGTGAGACCCGTCTCAAAAAAAGTAAATATAAATAAATAAACTGCCTGTCCTTGAAAGATTGTTTAGAAATTAAAACAGTGCCAGGTGATGCAGTGGCTCACTCCTGTAATCCCAGCAATTTGGGAGGCTGAGGTGGGCGGATCACCTGAGGTTAGGAGTTCAAGATCAGCCTAGCCAACATAGCGAAACCCCATCTCTATTTAAAAAAATACAAAAATTAGCTGGGTGTCATGGTATACACCTGCAGTCCCAGCTACTCAGGAGACTGAGGCAGGAGAATCTTTTGAACTCGGGAGGCAGAGTTTGCAGAGAGTTGAGATTACACCACTGTACACCAGCCTGGGGGACAAGGTGAGACTCTGTCTCAAAACAAACAACAACAACAAAAAAAAAAACAGTGCCATTAGACAGTTTTCATTCACTAGCATAGTAAAAAGAAGGAATTAGATTTTGGCAAACCCAACACTTAAGCAATAAATAAATACTTTTCTAATCAAATGTGTTTCTTGGGGAAAATATAAAGATAACTCAGGGCCGGGCACAGTGGCTCATGTCTGTAATCCCAGCACTTTGGGAGGCCGAGGCGGGTGGATCACAAGGTCGAGAGATCGAGACCATCCTGGTCAACATGGTGAAACCCCGTCTCTACTGAAAATACAAAAAATTAGATGGACATGGTGGCACGTGCCTGTAATCCCAGCTACTCAGGAGGCTGAGGCAGGAGAATTGCCTGAACCCAGGAGGCAGAGGTTGCGGCTAGCTGAGATCGCGCCATTGCACTCCAGCCTGGGTAACAAGAGCAAAACTCCGTCTCAAAAAAAAAAAAAAAAGATAACTCAAACTGAGCATGTCTTAAGTCCAGGGGCCTTGCACGCTTAAATCACTTGTATGTCTGAGTCTTCACCAGTCTATATAGAAAAGAAATGGTCACAGATTTCTCCACACTACCAAACATGATGACTACTGGGTCATAACAATCAATTTAACGTTAACAAAATCACAGAGATGGAGAACATATTAGGGGTTGCAAGGGATTAGGTGTGAATGTGGCTATGGGAGCAGCACAGGAAACCATGTGGTGACAGAATAGTTCTGGGTCTTAACTGTGGTGGTAGCTACACAAAGCTACACATGAGAAAGAGCTACACAGAAGTGCAAACACCAACTCAGAGTGCATGTAACCTTGGTGAAATCTGAATAAAATATGGACTATACCAATGCCAGTTCTCTAGTTTCGATATTGTATTATAGTTATGCAAGATGTTACCCCTGGAGAAATTGGGCAAAAGATACCTCTTAGTACATTTTTTTTTTTTTTTTTTGCAACTTCTTGTGAATCTGTAACTATTTCAAAACACAGGCCGGGCATGATGGCTGGCGCTTGTAATTCCAGCACTTTGGGAGGCCGAGGTAGGAGAATCACTTGAGGTCAGGAATTCAAGACCAGCCTGGTCAACATGATGAAACCCGTCTCTACAAAAACACAAAAATTAGCCAGGCATAGTGGCACATGCCTATAATCCCAGCCGCTTGGGCAGCTGAGGCAGGAGATTCACTTGAACCAGGGAGGCAAAGGTTGCAGTGAGCCAAGATTGTCGCACTGCACTCCAGGCTAGATGACAGGGAAGACTCCATCTCAATAAAATATAAAGTTAAAAAAATAATTTAGTAAATTACAACACATATTTTTAAAAATAAAATTAAAACATCACTGCCTAATGTAAGGGTAAAACTCTATTCAGCTATATATACACATACATTTAGGTGGACAATTGGTTGCAATGTAAACTTTCTTACTGTAAGTTTTGGTTAGAAGCTTGTAAAATACTTTCATGCTACTAGGAAGGAAATGCATTATCTCTATTAAAAATAACACTAGCAAATACCACATGCAGTATTCTAAGTACTTGGCATAATATTAACTCATTTTTGTGAGGTAGAGGCTATATCAATCCTCATTTTACAAATGGGGAAACCAAGGCACAGGAAGGTCATAACACTTCCCCATGGACAGTAAATGGCAGAGCTATGATGTGGACACAGGCACACTAGCTCCAGAGTCCATGCTGTACTGACTCAGCTTACCTCATGCCTAGCTGCATAACTCCAGGTGACTTCAATCCTCAATTCTACATTATTTCAATTACAGGCTACCTAAGTTTCTAAAGCTCACTAGATACATCAGACAAAAAAAAAAAAAAAAAAAAACAGATATTATATACATACAAATATTTGAAGATTTAACAGATGGAAAATGAAATACCTTTAGCCTCCAATTATCTCCTACTTCAGTTTTGATTCTGTTTAACCAATTTTCATCAAAATATGCAGGATCTCTGCAAAACAAGGAAAAGCTTACATATTAAGATTATGTAGCTATCAAGCTAAAGAAAACAAATTGAATCTTATCCCGTACATCACTTACCTGTAACATAAAAATGTATTTGACACATATCAGCCACTAAATACGTGTTAATAACAGTCAAGCTGGCTCAGACGTGGTGACTCACCCTGTAATCCCAGCACTTTGGGAGGCTGAGGTGGGCAGATCACTTGATGTTAGGAGTTCAAGACCAATCTGGCCAAAACAGTGAAACCCTGTCTCTACTAGAAATACAAAAATTAGCCGGGCATGGTGGCACATGCCTGTAATCCCAGCTACTCAAGAGGCTGAGGTGGGAGAATCCCTTGAACCCGGGAGACGGAGGTTGCAGTGAGCCGAGATTACTCTGCACTCTGCACTCCAGCCTGGGAGACAGAGTGAGATCCCATCTCTCAAACAAGCCGAAAACAAAAAAAAAAACAAAACAATTTTTTTTTTTTTTTTTTTTTTTTTTGAGAAGAAGTCTTATTCTGTCACCCACGCAGGCTGGAGTGCAGTGGCATGATCTTGGCTTACTGCAACCTCCACCTCCCAGGTTCAAGCGATTCCCCTGCCTCGGATACTGAAGTATCTGGGATTACAGGCGCATGCCACCCTGTCCAGCTAATTTTGTATTCTTAGTAGAGATAGGGTTTTATCATGTTGGCCAGGCTTGTCTCAAACTCCTGACCTCAAGTGATGGCATCCACCTTGGCTTCCCAAAGTGCTGGGATTACAGGTGTGAGCCACTGTGCCCAGCCAATGACACAGTTTTTAAACTGATAAATATATCAAGACAATCCTGGCTAACACAGTGAAACCCCATCTCTACTAGAAATACAAAAAATTAGCCAGGAGTGGTGGCATGCACCTGTAGTCACAGCTACTTGGGAGGCTGAGGCAGGAGAATCGCTTGAACCCAGGAGGTGGAGGTTTCAGTGAGCCAAGATCGTGCCACTGCACTGCAGCCTGCGAGACAGAGCAAGACTCCATCTCAAAAAAAAAAAAAAAAAAAAAGTTTTTCAATTAATATTTCAATGAACTCCATCATTTAATACTTCAAAGGTCACCAATAATGTCACTAAATTCCAATTTCTTCAAATAATATATACTAAGAACCTGTTTTCTCAGATGTAGTACTAGCCTTTGGACACATCTGAATACCATTTCTGCTTGTAAAAGACTTAAAATTTAAGATTAAAACACTGGTATGAACAAACATATTGAAACGAGGATAGCACCTGAATATCCTTTATATCTTCCTAGGAAAATTTTCTATGGGAAAATTTCCCATACTTCTAATAAACAGTAGAAAGAAAGAAAAATAAACACAAAATTTTTCGAATCCACCGTGAACCTCATATTACAGATTTTGAAACTGTTCCTCTAAAAAATTATTTATCTAAGACCATAGATACCAGAACACCTGTGTTTGCTCTGCTTGAGCAAACTGCTAAGTCCAAAAATCTTTCCATAACACTACAACATTCTCCATTCACCTCAAAACAACAATGATAATGAGAGACTGATAAGTTAGGAAAAATGCATGTTTCAACTTTTACTGTAACTCACACTGATACATACACAATCAGTAATAAATTTTTATTCAAATTTGCTTAAAATGAAGCAACATGATATTCAGAATTTTTACCTACTATGAAAAAATAATTTTTTTTTAGATGAAGTCTCGCTGACGCCAGTACCTCCTGGGGTGGGAATGCAGTACCTCCTAGGTTCAAGACGTTCTCTTTCCTCAGCCTCCTGAGTAGCTGGAACTACAGGCATATACCATCACACCCAGCTAGTTTTTGTAATTTTAGTAAAGACAGGGTTTCACCATGTTGGCCAGGATGGTCTCTATCTCCTGACCTCATGATCTACCTGCCTCCGCCTACCAAAGTGCTGGGATTACAGACGTGAGCTACTGTGCCCAGCTGAAAAACATATTACAATTAAGTTACCTCTATAGAAATCTGTTATGGCTGGGTATGGTGGTTCATGCCTGTAATCCCAGTACTTTGAAAGGCCAAGGTGGGCGGATCACAATGTCAGGAATTTGAGACCAGCCTGGACAACATGGTTAAACCCCATCTCTACTAAAAGTATAAAAATTAGCTGGGCATTGTGGCATGCATCTGTAATCCCAGCTACTCAGGAGGCTAAGGCAGGAGAATTGCTTGAATCCAGGAGGTGGAGGTTGCAGTGAGCTGAGATCACATCACTGAACTCCAGCCTGAGTGACAGAGTGAGACTGTGTCTCAAAAAAAAAAAAAAAACTGTTATGATTATTTTTGAAATCTGTATCATACCATTAGAAAACATATTAACTTCATTATCTTCATTATATATTTACTTTTAAAAACAGCATTATTGAGAAATAACTCACATGATACAATTTACCCTTTTACAGTACACAATGCATTTTGGTATGTTTAGAGTTGTACAAGCATCACCACATCTAGCCTTAGAGCACTTCCATCTTTCCAAAAAGAAACACTATCTCCATTAGCCATCACTCCTGTTCCCCCTCTCTGCAATCCCTGGAAATCAGTAACCTACTTTCTGTCTCTATGAATCTGTCTATCCTTGACATTTCATGTAAATAAAATCACACATTATGTTTTTTGTGTCTGGCTTCTTTCACTTAGCATGTCTTTTACGGTTTTTCCATATTGCAGCATGTATAGAACCTTCACTCCCTTTTGTGGCTAAATAATATTCCCTTTATTGATATATCACATTTTGTTTATTCATTTACTAGCTGATGTAATTTGGGCTATTTCCACTTTGGGGCTATTATGAATAATGAAGCTTTGAACACTGCTGTACTAGTTTTTGTGTGGACATTTGTTTCATTTGGGTATATGCCTATGGGTGAAATTGCTGGGTCCCATGTTTAAAATGAGAGGCAAGTACAAACTCTTCCAAAGCAGCTATATTCTGCATTCTCACCAGCAACGTATGTTCTCTGCAGCCTTGACAACACTTGTTATTACCTGTCTTTTTAGTTACAGTTCTCCTAGTGGATATGAAGTGGTGTCTCACTGTGGTTTTGATCTGCATTTCCCTAATGGCTAATCATGCTGAGCACCTTTACATGTGCTTCTTGGCCATTTGTATACCCTCTCTGGAAAAAAAGCCTATTCAGATTATTTGCACACTGAAAAGCTATATTGCTTTTTGTTTGTTTTAATATTCAGGATACAAGGCTCTTAACGAACATATGATGTATCAATATTTTCTCCAATTTTGAAGGCTGTTTTTCCACTTTCTTTTCTTTTTTTCTTTTTTGAGACAGAGTCACTCTCTGTTGCCCAGGCTGGAATGCAGTGGCATGATCTCAGCTCACTGCAACCAATTCTCTTGCTTCAGCTTCCTGAGTAGCGGGGATTACAGGCATGCACCACCATGCCCAGCTAATTTTTGTATTTTTAGTAGAGACGGGGTTTCACCATGTTGGCAGGCTGGTCTTAAACTCCTGACCTCAACTGATCCGCTTGCCTTGGCCTCCCAAAGTGCTGGGATTAAAGGTGTAAGCCACCCTGTCTGGCCATGGTTTTCCACTCTGCTGATGGCATATTTTGCACATGAAGTTCTTAATTTGTTTTTAAGAGACAGGTTCCCATTCTGCTACCTAGGCTGGAGTGAAGTGGCATGATTACAGTTCATTATAACCCGTATTCCAGGTCTCAAGCCATCTTCCCACCTAAGCCTCCAGAGTAGCTAGTACTAAGGCACACCACCATGCCCGGATAAAAAAAAATTTTTTTTGCCATAGAGATGGAGTCTCACTATGTTGCTCAGGCTGGTCTTAAACTCCTGGCCTCAAGTGATTCTCCTGCCTTGGCCTCCCAAGGTGCTGAGATTACAGGCATGAGCCACTGTACCAGGCCAAAGGTTTTAAATTATGAAGAGGTTCAATTTGTCTATCTTGAACTTTTTGTGTCGTATTTAAGAAGCCCCTGCCTAATCAAAAGTCATGAAGATTTATCAGTATGTTTTCTTTTAAAAGTTTTATAGAACTTAGCTCTTAAATTTGGTCTATAATCCATTTGTGCTTGATGTAAGAAAGGGAGCTAACTTCATTGTTTGGCACGTGGATAATCATACACAACTATTTTTGTTTTAAGCTACTTTAGTTGAGGTTTTTTTGTTACTAAGAGAAATCAATTTGAGCAAACTTACACAAAAAAGGCAACTTACTGTATGATCACTGATGTTATGGTACTCAAGATAGCTGGGCCTCACCAAATGCGGGCCAACACTCTGACTTTCATCTTTGTTTCTTTCTATCCATCTATACCATTTTCTCTCCATAGACCAGCATTCTCCTATTCTACCATACACAATACTAAAAATGGCTGCAGGTACGTTCAAAGCCTGTATCACCTCAGTCCAAGCAATTTGTTTAAAGACCAGCTATCATTCAGTCCCAATTCTAAATCTGCAGGAAAACCCCTAATTATATGTGGCCAAAAGGATGGGAGCTGCAAGGACACACAGAACTTTAGGGACCACACTGGTCAGGAAAGAATTGAGTTCTCAGGTTCTCTGACTTCTCAGAAAAAAAAAGACATCCCCCACAAGTGTTCTCTTTGCGTAAAACTTAGAAAAATAGATAACAAAAACAACTGAAGTGATTTCTACTAAAATACTGAATTACAAAAATTAATTCAGAAGTCAAAAAATATTCAATGTTATGTTTGATACTTAACCTAAAAAGCTGTCACTTAAAAAGCACAATCATTAGCAATCAAGCATTGCTTTCCAACTAAAAAAAACTCACACACAAGTCTGGTGCCCTGCAGCTGATGACTACCCAAAGCCAAAGAAAGGCACAAAACCACCAGAACCTACCACCCAAATGGCAAGTCAGGTTCACTCAGATGAAAGATTTAGTGTTACTTTTACCAGAAAGTACCTTACAAAAAAAAAAAAAATCTTTAAAACATCCAAGAAACTATATATTCCAAG